ATTACGAAGCTGTTAGCTAACATGACATTTAAAAGGTACTATAGTTTAAAAGCCTGTAACACTGAGTTAATTTATATTAAAAACACAAACCAACGCATTCTTACCTGTGAAAGTTTACATTCCGGCAGTCTTTACAACCAGAGGCTGCGCAATGTTGTGGCATCTTGAAACTCATTTATTTTTATTGTGAGGGACGACACATTGACTGTTCCAAGATGGCGGTTGCGTTGACGTGTCTGGAGCGATTGAATTTGGCATCTACCTATACATATCTATGGTTCCAATCCTGTATGAGTTTCTTTCTTCTGTTGAGCACAGAAGAAGATATTTTGAAGAATGTTAGTGACCAAACAGACGCTTTACAGTCTAGTTTCAATAAATGCTTTTTTTTTTGTACCGGAGAGGACAATTTGAGTCCTGAGTGTTACAGTGTGTTTTATAGTGCGCTGAATTATTTAATTAAAAAAGATTTCTCATCTGATTACTTTTTAGCACTTTGTGAAGGGGTTTGGTCTCTTGAAGAGGAGAGGAGAGACCGCTGAGACGCTTGGGTTTTTATTAGAGCAGCTCTGTTTTCCCTGCACACTCTCTCTTTGTTCAGTCTCAGTGTTTTCATCGCTGTGATTCATGGCCGTTCAGTCCCTGTGCCATTATACTGAGACCAGATAAAACCAGAGTACAGGATAGCAGACCAGCCTTCACCATCATCATCATCATCATCATCACGTATCTGTGACCCCAAGTGATCCAGTCTCTCTCCTCGCGCTCTTGAGTTTGTGTTAATCATCTCATCTGGGCCCTCGAGTTGCTGTACGAGTGTGTGTGTGTGTACGTGTGTGTGTGTGTGTGTTGATCTTGACTCTTCCACTGAGAAACACTATTTAGAAGCTGCTGTTTCTCACTCTGTGCCTCAGTTCACATCCTTATATTTCACTGGTCACATGCATTTGAGTATATATGCTATTGGGACATACTATTTCAATTTTTAAAAAGCAGAAAACAAAATGGAAATAAATAAGGTGCCAAGAATGGTAATAAAAATACAAACTGTGCAAAAAATTGAATAAAATAAACAAAGTAGAAGACATATCATGTCATAAAATTGCATCTTAATATTATAATCCTTGTCATGTACTGCTTGCCAATGCACTACATTGTTCATTATTTATCATTATTCCAATTTTAGTTTTATATGCCTTACATTCCTCACCTTTTATGTACAACTGAGGAATTCTATATAGAACAAACTCAAACTTCTGTAAAATGGAACATTCCATTTGATCAATTTGCAAACATTATGGGAATGTTTTCGTAACTCACTGGGAACATTAGAAAAATGTTCTTTGAACATATTTTTATTAGCTGGGAAGTTCAAGTGGCAACGTCTTCTCAAAGTTAGAACAAATGTTCTTCTAGTAATGTTAATAAAACTTTTGGTCAAAGTTATTTGGTGTAACATTCTCAAAACATTTATACATTGTTCATATACATTGCACAAAAAATGTATACATTGCTCATGGAATGTGTGTGATTTGGGACGCTTTAATCTTGCGTAGTATACAGGTTAGATTGTGTGCAAATTGGACTAATGTTGTTTGTGTTGTCTGTGTCTGCAGGTCAGTTGCATGTTAGCGCTGACAGACAGACAGCCGCTTCACACGGTGACTCGAGGGTGATTTATCAAATGCAAGGCTGGTGTCTTAGATGTTGTTCTGCATCGCGCTCTTTCATTCGGTTTAAAAGCAGATAAACCAGTGCTTTTATACGCGACATCACGGTGCAGCAATTACAGCTATTCAGAGACACAAAGCCAACAATCGCAGGACATTTACAGATCTGAGGTTCACAGCAGCAATTACTTCAAGGGGCTCACAAGAGCGCCCACCTGGATTCAAACCCAAACAACACCTTCAAGTATTCTCTGAAGAAGAGAATCTCACGTTAGCAGAAAGAAACACGCTCCCGTAGCGCCACCAATGGGTGAGAGGAGCATCTCGAAGACACACATCAGGTGCTTCTGGATTCAGCTGAGGACGATTCTGAAGAAGAGATCTTAGTGTCTCAAACTGTGCTCGGATTGACCAAGATCCCAAAAGTCAAAAATCTCAATATTACCTCAAACATTTCTCATCAAATGATCAGTTGTATGACAACTGTTACCTCATTTGGTTCATAAATGATGAACTTTGCAATGTTGAGACTATTATTGAACTGAACTGAATCAGCATTGAATTTTGATCTGAATAACGATATGATTGCCTTCTGCTTTACAGCCGAATTGAATTTTTTGATAATTGATGACAATAAAAACAATAACTTTGACAAGTATTGAACTGAATTGAATCAATATGTAAATTAATTGATCTGAATAATGACACTTTTGTAAAGCTGCTTTACAGCTGAAATTGAATTTGTTTCATAATTGATGAACTTTGACAGTTATTGAACTGAATTGAATTGACATTGAACCAAAACTGAACTGAATAATAACTCTATTGTCTTCTATAAAGATGCTTTACAGCTGAAATTGAATTTGCTTGATAATTGATGAAGTTTGAGAGTTATTGAACTGAACCGAATCAACATTGAACTAATTTGATCTGAATAACAACACAACTATATTCTGTAGATCTGCTTCTACAGCTAAAATGTCATTTTTCAATTTGCAACATTGATTCTGTTATCGAAACAAATTGAATCAACATTAAGCTGAATAATGACTCTATCATCTTCTGTAAAGATGCTTTACAGCTGAAACTGAATTCTCTTTAAATCTGATGAATTTTGCAACATAGTTATTGAACCGAAATGAAGCAACATTGAACTAAATTGATCTGAATAATGATCTGAATATTGTCTTGTGAAGACCTGCTTTTGCAGGTGAAATTGAATTTTTTTCATGATTGATGAATTTTGCAACGTTTACACTTACTGAAATAAATTGAATCGATTTAACTAAATTAAGCTGAAGTCTAGAGCAGCTTTGCAGCTGAAACTGCATTTATTTCATAACAAATGTGTGAAGCTGCTTTGAAACAATCTGTATTGTGTGCTATAGAAATCAATGTGACTTGACTCATTTGGGTCTGTTTTTGTATCCTGAGGATTTTTAGCAGAAACATCTTTGATAAATATCTGAGAAGAGCGCTGATATTTTGCTGTGGACTCTGTCGTGTTTGTATTCTGTAGTGGTTGGATGCAGGGCTGTTCTGGGATCAGCGCTCATCCCTCATCCGCAGGTTCTTCTGTGTTTACCTGAGCAGTGACCCGTCGATACACTGATCTCAGAGCACCTGGGAAGCGTCTTGAGCGGATCTTGTCGTCCCGGGGCGTCCCGTGTGAGATCTGAGCCATCTGTGTGCCTCAGGACATTCACAGCATCTGCCGGCACTCAGTACAAACACAGCAGAGACCCGGAGCGCGTGTGATGTGTTTTAATCAGCCGCTGATGTGGGCCAGCGCTCGGTTAAAATCACACCAGCTGTTCTCATTCTGCTGCTGTTTCTCTCGTCTGAATCACCTGCTGCATCGACTCGCAAACAGCCGCCGCATTGCTTTTCTCTTCAGTTATTTATTGGCATCTGCTTCCATGAAGAATAGTTCTCCCAAAAGTGAAAATGTGCTCACCCTCAGAACATCCAAGATGTAGATGAGTTTATTTTGTCCCTCAGATTTGGAGAAATGTAGCATTGCATCAGTGTCTCCGCAATGGATGCTCTGCTGTGAATGGGTGCCGTCAGAACGAGAGCTGATAAAAACATCACAATAATCCACAAGTCATCCACAGCACTCCAGTCCATCAGTTAACATTTGGAGAAGACAAAAGCTGAGACAAATCTATCATTAAGACATTTTTAACTAAAATACAAGTCCGTAATCGTTAAAAAATATTTTTAAAACATTTTAGATAAAAACATTTAATGCTGGATTTGTTTCAGCTTTAGTCTTCTCCAGATGTTAACTGATGGACTGGAGTGCTGTGGATTACTTGTGGATTATTGTGATGTTTTTATCAGCTCTCGTTCTGACGGCACCCATTCACTGCAGAGCATCCATTGCTGAGACACTGATGCAATGCTACATTTCTCCAAATCTGATGAAGAAACAAATTCATCTACATCTGGGATGGTCTGAGGGGGAGCACATTTTTAGCACATTTCAGCAAATGTGAACAATACTGGCTGTCTTCATCTTCAGCATCGTGTCTTGCTTTTGTTTTGATTGTAAAGTGTGTTTGTGCGTCTTTATTTACAAGAAATTACACATTTTCTAAGTGTCCCCATAATGTTTGTGTAATGTGTGAACATGTGGTGAGGTTTGGGGGGGGGGAGCAGTTTGAGGTCAGTTTGCTGGACCCTTGTTATGTCTGAACTTCACATTCTCCTGCAGTCGGTCGCCAGTGAAAACAGCCGTTTGCTGGAACAACAGTCTCTGAATTCTGAGACTGTTTTCATGCAGCACTGGACGCTGATGTTAAATGTCCTGAAAAACAACACATCTCATCTAGATTCATATGAAGCAGAGTGTGTGTGGATTCATCCTGGTGACAAAACTATGTGACAAATATAACAAAACTTTTCAATTTGAGGTGCCCTCAAAGGTAAAATTGAAGTGTATGTATAGCCAAACTAAACAAAAATGAGAAATGCAGTCTTGGAAACCAGCTGAAATAAAATAAGTTTTCTTATATATCATAATAAAAGTTTTTTTTTCCAATATAATAAAATATATTTTATTTTATTTATATATTATTATTTCATTACAGTTAATGAGCTATATATATATATATATGGCTGATCTGTATGCCACAGAAAGCTGGTGCTGATGAATTTGGTGCCTTTGAGAAAAACAGGCAGATTGTGTTTGAGTTGTGATTATTTCCAGATGAAATACACACACACACACATTCCAGTCCCGTCAAAGAGGGAGGAGAAATAAGTAGTATGTTGAAGGAAGAGGGACAACAGGAGGAGACAGATGGGACCAGACTCTCTCTCTCTCTCTCTCTATGTCTGTCTGTCTGTATATTTACCGCTGAGCGCGACAGTCACTCGGCCTGACTGAGAAGCAGCGAGAGAAGAGGAGAAACAGCATGACGGCCCTCTGGATTCTGTCTGTGTCTGCGCTGATGTGTCAGATGTCCATCACTGCGTCTCTGCACTGGAGGAAAGGTACGACAGGAGACACTGCTTACATCAGATCACTCACTTACAGAGCATGAGCACTTCAAATCAACACGCTTCTGCTTAAATGCTTGAAATGAGTTATGTGGACACATATAAACTGCGCCAACAAAGTTGGGAAACATCTGAGGTCAAGATAGAAAATAAATAAAAATTTTGTTACCAAAATTCATATTTCATTAGAACTGAATATGTGGTTTCCAGAATACGGAAGCCCATGCAGAATAAAAAAAAAGTAATTTCGACTTTTAAATCTCACAGTTCTGACCTTTTTCTTGCAATTTTGAGTTTATATCTCACAATTCTGACTTTATTTTTCATGAACTCAGAATTGATATAAATTTTTTTTAAGTCAGAATTGTGAGATAAATTTGCAATTTGCAAGGCAAAAATCAGAATTATAAGATTAAAAAGTTGCAATTACCTTTTTATGTCTTTATGCATGGCAGAAAAAAATAGTGAGATTTAAATGGACAGTTCTTGTAACAAACAAAGTCCAAATTTTGAGACAAAATTTCAGAATTCAGAACAATATAGTCAGAATTGTAAGATGTAAAAAAAATAGCAAGAAACGAAGTCCATATTGTGAGATATAAACTCAGAATTGCTAGAAAAAAGTCAGAATTGTGAGATAAAAAGTCACAAATTAATTTTTTTTATTCTGTAATTTTATAATATGGTCTTCCAAACCAGAGTTATTATCTTTAACTAATAGCATTTTTTTTTTATCATAAAAAAAAAACAATGTAGTTAAGGCTTAAATGAATAAATTAAAAAATATATATTTTAGTTAGTTCGCAAGTAAAACATTACTTATTTTCATTCACTTTATGATGAAGTAAGGTCAAGGTCAAGTTTATTTATATAGCACCTTAAAAACAACGAGAGCTGACCAAGGTGCTGCACAGCTAAAACATCAGTAATGTCAACCAACAAAAGCATTAAGACAATATAAAATTTGAAATTTGTAGTCTCTGACTACAGAGTTAATTTGTTTGTCAAATTTTAATTCAGGATCAAACATAACTCCCAGATTTTTAACCTTTTCATTGATGTTTTCTTCAAAAGGGCCCAGAGTAGGTCTTAAATTATGTAAAAGGTGAGACGGGCCAAACAAAATAGCTTCAGTCTTTTTTTGATTCAACTGTAGGAAATTATTTTCCATCCAATTCTTGATGTCCTCTAAACAAGCCAGCAAGGAGGACACTGAATCAGAACCTGATTTTAGAGGAAAATAAAGCTGAGTATCATCTGCATAAATGTGGTATGAAACTTTACAAGACTCAAATATAAAACGAAGGGGGAGCAAATACAGGGAGAATAAAATTGGACCCAGAATAGAGCCCTGGGGTACCCCACAAGTGATGGGAACTGAGCTTGATGAAAATTCACCAATTTCCACCGAAAAACTCCTATATCTGAAATATGATGCAAACCAGCCTAATGCAGTACCACAAATGCCAACTTCAAGATTTAATCTTTTTAACAGGATGCGGTGATCTACTGAATCGAAAGCCACGCTCAGGTCCAATAATAAGAGAATAGTACAGTTACCAGTGTCTGCAGATAACAAGAGATCATTTACTACTCTTAAAAGAGCTGACTCAGTACTATGTTTTGCTCTAAAGCCAGACTGAAAAGGATCCAGAATATCATTAGAATTTAGGTAGAGGGAAACCTTTTCCAAAACTTTGTGCAGAAATGGCAGTTTTGAATTTAGCCTATAATTATTTAATTCAGTGAGATCAAGATTTGTTTTTTTGAGTAAAGGCTGGACCACAGCATGTTTAATATTACATACTGATAAAAAATGTATAGCCTGAATGCACTGTAAGTCGCTTTGGATAAAAGCGTCTGCTAAATGCATAAATTTAATTTTAATTTAATTTAATTTAAGGCAGGAAGGGACAATGCCTGTCTGTACAGAACCATTAATAATAGAAAGTAAGCTAGGCAAAACAGAGGGCAGAACATCCTTCAGCAGCTTTGTAGGAACATCATCACAAGAAAAAGTAGTTGATTTCATATTTAAAATAATGTCTGACAACTCAGAAAGTGAGATAGCTTGAAAGTTTGAAAACAGTGCTGCAAGTACTAAAATAACTAAAAATAAATTAAGTAAAACGTAAAAAAAAAGAAAAGACAAATACACAAACAAAATAACAAAAAAGTTAACGAAAATGAAAATAGAAAATCTAATTCAAAGTAATCTCAATGACAGTGAAATATCAGTGGTTTGACCTGCAGCCAGCGCTTGAGTCTCTGACCTCCAGAGGAACAAACACAGCAGACGTGATGGATGACTTGGTGTCTGTTGTTTGTGGGATGTGAAGTGCTAATCATGTAACACTGGTGACCTTGCGCTTTTACAGTGGAAGCGAGCGCTCGGTGGGATGGCGGGGGCTGGTGGTGCCGGTGGCTCCGAGTCTCCGTATATCTGCTCTGACATTTCATTAGAGTCCTCCGCCATCCAAGGGCGCGAGCCGGGCCTCTGGCATCTGTGTTTGGACTCAAAGTCAAGCGTTTTTGGGAGGTTTTGCTGGGATTTTATGAGCCGTAAGTGCAGCCGCTAACAGAGATGTTCAATTACTCCAGCGTTTGTAGGACGTTCACCTCCGGGTGGAATTTGGCAAAGCGTCCACCAAACAGTTTCCACCTCACGAGTCCTTTAATCAAAACAAAGTGCTAATGATACGCACTGTGAGTGTGTGAAATCACTGGAATAAACACCTCAAATAAAAGATCTTCATTGGCTCTTTGCAGCACTTTAGTTTCACTTTATGCCTCTCAACCTTCTTTTTTTTTAATTTATCGGGTTGTTGAGTCAAAATATGGTTCTTTTTTTTAGATTAAAGTCCTTAAAGTTACAGCACTGGTACGCATTTTTAGGAGTAATTCACCCAAAAACAACATTTACTCAATCTATGTTGTTCAAAACCTGCAGGACTTTCGAGTGAATGAGATTTGAGAGGAACGTTCTTCCAGTAACGTTAATAGAATGTTCGTTTAATAATGCTCTAATGATACGTTGTTAATTGAATGGGTTTTTTTCCTGAAACACTTTAGTTGGATGTTCGTCTAACGTTTTTTAAATGTTTAAGAATGTTAAGAGCATTCAAAAGTAACATTTCCATCATGTTTGCTAATGATAAAATGGAATGTTTGCAAAAGAAAAAAAAAAACGTTTTTTTTAAAACTAGACGTTTCTGAATGATCAGAGAACATTCAGAATGGGAACGTTGGCCAAACGTTCTTAGAACATACATACACTTATATGTGTTGTGTGTGTGTGTGAGACTTAAGTGTCCAAATACTATATGACCAATCATAAGTTTGGTCAGTAAGATTTTTTTAATGTTTATGAAAGAAGTCTCTTCTGCTCACCAAGACTGCATTTATTTGATTAAAAATACAGTCAAATTGTTAAATATTATTACATTTTAAAACAACAGTTTTCTATGTGATTATACTGTAAACTGTAATTTATTACTATGATCAAAGCTGAATTTTCAGCATCATTACTCCAGTCTTCAGTGTCACCTTCAGAAATCATTCTAATATGCTGATTTACGGCTCAAGAAATATTTCTGATTATCATCAATGTTGAAAACCGTTGTCCTGCCCAATATTTTTGTGGAAACGATTCACAAAAATAGACGTCTTAACGTTATAAACGTTTTACAGTGACCTTTGATCGATTTAATGCATCCAGAATGAAAGCGTTAATCCTGCTGCACACAAACATGTGAAATATATTTCTGACCGTGAGTGTGCGGTTTATCTTTGAGGACACACACTGACACTTACTGAGGAAACTATAAAGCGTTTTCCTCATAAACATGTTTTCGTGAACTGACATCATTTCCATGGAAGTGCGGCGGTCACGAGGAGAAGGCTGGCGGCGGTAGGCTTTGGCTCGACTGTGTTTGTGGAGTTTTAAAGGTCAGTTTAGAGCAGGAGGATCAAGTTTGCGAAGGTGAGAGTCTGAGGACCCACCGTCACACATCTGCGGCTGATCGGTGCAAACAGATGTGGAATGTGTGTGATGCTGGCGACATCCTGAGCGGATCAAACACATGACCAGCTCCCGTCAACTTCAGCTTGTTTTTGGTTCAAGCCTGTTGTTCCTGCGAGTTTCCATAGTTTACAGTCTTCACTCAATAACTAGTTCATGTCACTTGCTAGTTGTTTGGATGACTAATAACCCATCCGTCCTTAACTGATATCATCCTGCATTATTCACAGTCAGAGATGCGTGTCTTTCGGCTGCAGGCCTGTAATGCAGATGTTAAACGCAGCCGTCATGATGGAACGAGACCAATCCATCAGCCGCTGACATGCGCAGAAGAGACGCAGATGCGCAGCTGCTGAACACATGCAAGTATAGGTCTCTGCAGGAAAGTAATGGGAGTTACTAGATCATGGCGTTTTTAGATCATGTTTCCTGATTGGCTGATGTCATAGTGACGGTAGGTTTAGGGGTGGGGTTAGGTAAGGGGGATCATTTTGATTGCATGATTGAGAAACACCCTGCAGTTTGAAAACACCCACAAATTCAGAAACGCCCACTTTTGCTCTGCAGAGACCTCAGTCTCAACACATGCGCTAAAACCATAGACTGTATAAAAACATGGACGTAGTGTCCGTGACGTCACCCGTAGATTTCCGAAGAGCGTTTTTGAAGCTCAAAGTGGGCGGAGCCGGCCGTCGCCATCTTGGCAGCGCGTCACCGCACGTCACTCCCGGATAATCGAAAATGGGCAAAGAGGCGGGAGCAGGTTGATGAAACCACGCCCACCTAGCTCGACAATGGTGACAGCAGCGGCAATCCACCTGTCACTCAAGTGGCCACGCCCTTAATTATGCAGAACTTTAAGTCTTAATATAATTTAAACGGGTGAGTTATAAAAAAATTCACCCCCCTCAGTTGTCATGAAGGGCAAAATTAGCTATATAGACCAAAATAATTTTTTGAACCAGGCTGTAAACATGTTTTTTTCTGCTGGAAAGTTGGGCTTTTTAACATGGGGAGTCTATGGGATTGACTCCCTTTTGCAGCCAGCCTCTAGCGGCCAGTTGACGAATTACAGTTTAAGTCACTTCCTTGTTGGCTTCACGAGAGAGAGCGGGAGGTTGCCGCTCGGCTAAAACATGTAAATCAGGAAATAAACAACACTTTGAAAACAACTGTAATTGTAACAATAAAAGACTTTTAAAATCAACAAAAATCTGTTCATTATTAACAAAGGTAATATATACGGTGAAAAATAAACAAAGGCAATGTAAACAAATTTTACATTTTGAATTTTTACAAATCGTAGCTTCACCAGAATGGTACGAAACTTGGTGACTTTTATGGCACTTGGTATGTGAACACAAAAAAAAATTTGAGGGCATGATTCGAAAAAGTTAAGTGGTCGTAAAAAAAATAGTCACACTCATGGTCTTCGGTCAAAAATGACCGACCATAG